GCTATAGGATGAAAGTGTTTTTCCAAACAGGTATCATTGATTCAAAAATTTTTCGTTGTAATGATAGTACTGTACAGTAATAACCCCCATGAGAAATTCTTTAATGCAAAATTTTTTTTACATGGTTTATTTTATTTTATTTTTTTCAAACTGGGGACCCACTGTAAAAACATTTTGTCACCTAATGGTCATACCTCCCCACCTTTTCTGCCGTTCGGTCACCTTCTCTCTTTTGGTGTGTGTTTTTTTTCACAGGGAGATTTTACGGTGATGTTACAGGCAAGGGCTACACTAAACTGCGGGAAGGAACCCAGGGTCGGCTGCTCACATTCCTGGCCCGACTCCTGGACGTGGTGGAAGTGAACCCGATCCGTCCGCCCACGTCCAGCACCATGAGCAGCGCCGGTAGTTACACTAGCCGCAAGTTCCGCAAGGCCGCCTCGCTGGCGGATGTCGTGGAGGCGCCGACGGCGGGCTCGTCGCCGTCACCGGACTCATCCACGGCGCCCATCACGGACGAGACGCATCATCCGCCGCCGGGGGCGCCTCCGAGCTACGACACCGTCATCGCGAGCAATGAAGCGCAAACGGTGGAGCTGAAAGCGATTTAAAAGAAATGAGTGGAATTACAGTGAGACCCCCACATATGCGGACACTTCGACCTGCAGACAATTTGATTTAGGGTCACTTATTTTCTCATAAAAAATTAGTAAAAAAGGCCTGACATGAGGACAGCACTGACTCTACATAGGGACATTTTGTGATAAAATTGCAAATACATTTCAGGCCAAATTATGAGAAGCAGATATTTCCAACCCTAAAATTGATGTATTGTAAGAAAAGTTCTTGGGCATTTCTCTCACCAATTTACCATCCATTTAGCAAATTACAAAAATTAACTACAACAGAGAGGGACTTCCTTTTCTCTTTTTCACTTGAATATTATTTTTACAGCCAACATTTCTATGTACTGGACAGAGGTATCAATATTCAATTTCCTAAATGCCCATATTGTATTGAAATATATTGATTGGAATCAGTTTAAAGTGGGAGACAATTTTTATTTTCATGGAATTGTGGTGAGTATTTTGTACAAAAAACACCAATTCAAAATTATATAATGTAAGACTAAGGGAACATGAGACTCAACTTAGGGACATTTCAACTTAGGGACACTCTTGGTGCGCCAATTATGTCCGCATCTTGGGGTCTCACTTGTAATTTAATTCCGCAAAAAAAATCTTCATGATTAAAAAAAAATTATGAGAAAGGACTCTAGCAATTTTTGCGCAGAATTTCAATCTCTCTCTCGCCTATGTCTTTCTCTGGCTCTTTTTTGCCACAGAAATTGTCTGATATGAGCAAACATTTGGAGAATTGAATATGTAAGCGAGTATAGGAAATGTGACTCGCGTCGTGTTGTGAAATTGTGATTGATTCGCACCCAGCATCCGAAATTCTCCGCTTGTGAACAGCGATGGCAATAGTAATAGTGTTTCGTGTTTTTTTTCTATTTCGTGTGCGGGGACGAAATGTGATCTTATCCAGGTGTTGTTATATCGGGAATATTTGGTGCTATACGTATGATGAAGATGAGGTATTGCTGGAGACGATGAGGGTTTCGAGTTAACAAACTTTGTACAGTACCAGCGTCAGGGAGCGTAAGGAAAGAAATTAATGAGTTAGCTCGATGAAGGAGTCGGGTGATCCCATGTATTGTATTCAGTTTTCAGGCAGATACATGCATATGGGCTCATCAGAATACGAGGAATATCTGAAAAAGAGCTCAACCAGTTCGTATAGGTAAGCGAGGGTGTTACGGAAAAGCCATGCACTAGCGACATCTATCAAATTGGGAATGAAAGTTTTTTTCACTATTTCAGGTGCAGTTTAGCTCACTTCTTGAGATTGAGTGAGGGTAGATTACTGCATTTACTTCCATGTATCAGATGCGCAGTTCTTTTCTTATTTTACATTACCTCTTTTAGCAAAAAAAATTGTAAAAACATGAAAACCCGCATCTTAATTTTGTTGGTACTTTTCTGTTCGCTCAGTGCCCATTTTTCTTTGTTTCGTGAATTCAGTATTTGTTAGGTTAGGTTAGGTCAGGTTATGTTAATTTAAAGATAGTTGTGACTAACATAACCTGACCTTCACCAAACCACCTCCCAAAATCAGTTTCTGCTTTCTTTGAGTTTCTGCTGAAACTGATTTTGGGAGGCAGATAGGTATAAAGTTAGGTTAGGTCAGGTTATGTTGATTGAAAGATATTTGTAACTAATATAAACTGGCCTAACCTAACTTTACCTAACCGCCTCCCAAAATCAGTTTCAGCAGAATGCGGAAAAATAAAATTCACAGTTTCTGGTATAGGTGCACCGAAAGTAGGTACTGAGATAACAGGTACCATATTGGGTACCTTAAAAATCAGAACTAAAAATGAAACACAATCAGGATGATAAACATGAACAAAAATGGAAAATTTTGTCACAAAAACATTTGAAGTTGATAAAATTTTACGGAGTGAGATATAGTGTAGTTTGAATTGTTTTTGGGCTGAAGATTAGGTTTCTTCATTATACATTGGCCAAAAATTAGAAAAGTATGCAATAGATAAAAAAAATCAATTTTTTTCCACTATCAATCGAGGAAAAATCAAAAATTTTATTTGAGTTCTAAAGATGTCGGATTTCTTTGAAGGATGAATGATTTAATATTTGTTTAGAGATGCCCAGTTTTATTTTAAATTTGAATCAAGTTGAATCAAAAGTGCGGGTCCTATAATTTTTTTTTTCAAGGGGGAATTCTTACAAATACTGTAATGCAGTTCATGTGAGAAATGTCAATGGACAGTCTGGACACATTTATGGCTATAGGCTTTTATTTACTGCAGTTGTCGCTCGTGCATGACTTTCGCCAAGAAAACCGGCGCAGTCGGTAATTTTTTCGTAGTACCGGTGATGCTCCTTGAAGAGCTAAAGTTTTTACAAGAAAAAGATTTGATTCATCTCTCAGAATGAATGTAATTTCCAAGTCGGTCGTTTATCTTCGCAAAATGTGAATGAAACAATGCCCGACATCATTTCCAATTTGCTAGAATCCCGGTTCAGTCAGAGTCTGCTTCATTCGGGACACGTGCAGGAAAAAGGGAATGAAAAAAGTGCGTGCGATAAATCTCATCCAAAAGAAAATGCAAAATGTGACGAGCTCTTCTATAAAGAGCAATTTTGTTGATTGGAAAATTTGTGAAATGAGCATTTGTTCGAAAGAATTTTGGGAGTTCCTTGACGACGAGCAAAGGAATCTTGTAAGTTTTCATAAAAGGGCATATACAAGATAAAATGGAATATTTGTCTTCGTTCACGACGCGTCCGAAGATATTTCTTTTATGAAGATTAAATGAATTTATTTACATGAAAATATAAACGACATCTCGCCTTTTCATTATTTCATTCAATCCGGAAAATAATGATATAATTTCATCTGTTATTGTTATTTTCATGCTGAAAAATTGTGTCCAGCAGTATGTCTATCTTTTTCCCTTTCTCTCACATCTATAAAATTTCACTTTCAAATTCAACCTCCCCTGCCCCCCAGAAATTGTTGTCTTACAAATTTGTGATTGTGCTGATAACAAATTATTTCTGTTGCATGAGGTAACACTTTACGGGGACCCAAGTGCTGTACTGTATTACAGTATACAGTAGAATTCCCTTACAACAAATCTTGATTCAACAAATTTTTCATTATAAAGAATTTTCATTATAACGGATTTTTTACTGGTCCCAGCAGTTTCCCATAGGCATACTGTTATAAAAATATCCTTACAGCCAACAAATTTTAGGCTTTAATCTTGTCATAACAAATTTTTGTCCATCATTATTTATTAGTACAATAGGGTTTGTTTAATATGCATGACCAAAAAAATAAAAGGTGCAGCATTCTAACTTCATCAAAAAGGAAAAATGTATATGCCAAGAAATCTTCCTGTTCAAAATATGCTAAACATGATGTATTTCTTAGAAATTGAGTTACTCCATTCCAGATCCCTGGGAGTTTGTTGTAACAAGATTTTACTGTATATGAAGTTGTTATCTTAACTGATTGAATGAATAGTCACTTCGGAACAAATGAATAAACAATCTATATACTGTATAAAAATATATATGACTAAATATATTCTTTGGTTTCAATATTTCACGATAACAATGCACTCAAACACATGCAATACATCAGTCAAGATAATAATTTTAAAGAAGTCTTGCTAAAACAATGCAAGTCTTCTTGAGAACAATTGCAAGAATCTTCCAGAGAGAATTGAGTCAGAGACTCCCCTGTTCTGCAAACCGGCGCTGGTCTGCAAAAGTTTTTGGCTGGTCTGCTGGAAATTTTCTCAAGCATGAAAAATTCATCAAAACAATCAATGAAGGATGTTGCAGCATGCTTATTTAAAATTTTTGCAAGACAATTGCAGTTAAAATTGTACCATAAAAAATAAAAGTTGGGGTTTCTCCTGATAACACTTCAGACAAATTCTCACCTAATGAAATAAATTATTTTAATTTTTCATTCTGAGAAATTTGTATGCAAGCCCACCTTTCTATAGTTCTTCGAAGACATTTCTACTGCAATAGCTGCTTCATTGGTTCTTAAATTTTTGCTAAGAAGCAAACAATTTTTCTAACCTGCCATAAAGTATTTCAGGCAACACTTTTTTGATTGTGCAGCAGTTTTAAAAGCTTTGCCAGTCTGCAGAACATCGTTTTGAAAATTTGCTGGTCCACAAGAATGGTCATGGAAATTTGCCAGTTCATGGGCTTAAAAAGGCTGAGGAACACTGATACTTGCTTCAGAACATTGTCTCAGTAATTAGACAATTAAACAGTCATATGAGTCAAGACTCACAAAAACAACCCAATCAATGATCCTCGAGTTCTTTGACTCATCAAGAAAATACCTATAGAAGGTGGAATAAATAAAATGTTGGATTCTGCTCCAAACTACAACAGAACATTAAAAAGAGTAATTGAGGTCCTGCCTCAAAAATATGTCGCGAGGCTAATTTATCTACTTATACTAAATCAGGGCCTTGGTTTCTTCACCAGCCAAACATCTTACCCTCGCCCTCGAGAAAAACAAAAAAGATGCAGATGGTTTCCTAAACGAAACCAGGGAAAACCTTCTGCGTTACTTACTCCCCCTAAATTCCCTTCTGCCACCTTGGTTGCATTAGTGGCAATATCCCAATATCCATCAATTAAATAATAATAATAAATAAATAGCACACACACGAGTAAATAAATCATGGGGCCGACGCTGACGTTTCGCGAGTACAAGGGCCCGGAACCCTTGTCCCCGACTGTCGGCGGCATCAAGGACCACGCTGAGGAAACCGGGATCCCCATGTCCCGGGAACCCGGGCTCACGTACCTCTTCAACGGCAGCAACATGTGTTTCATCAACTCTGTGCTTCAGGCCCTGGCCCAGATCCCGGGTTTCGTCAACCAATTCCTGGACGACGGCGTGTTGAACACGATGCACCGAAGCACGGCTCATTCGGCCGACGGCAGACTCACTCTGGGACTCGGGGAAGTGTTTAAAAAGATGTGGTTGGGCCGGAAGAAGTTGATCAACGCTGGGGAGTTTAAAGCCCTGCTGACGCAGGCGCACAGCGGGTACGACAATGACGATCAGCAGGACGCGCACGAGTTCTTTCTGGACTTGATGCTGTCGGTGTTGTTGAGCACTCGCATGTTTCCGTTTAATGAGAAGGTGAGTTATTTTCTTCTCTTATTGTTCACATTGAGAAAAACAGGTGTGTTTTTGCAACTAAAGATTTCATATCAACCTGAATAAAACTTACAAAACTAACCAGAGTCCCCCCCAATAATTCCAATTACAAAAAATAGATTAATTGTGAAACATTCAGAAAATATAAATAAACATTTCTTTCTTTGATAAATTTCATCGCCGCATGAATCGGAACAGCACTGCTGGGAATCCGGATTATTTTTCGTTCAAAGATGAAAGCTTATCATTCGTTTCAGAGAAAATATTTCTGGCTCTGTTTTTTTTTTTTTAACGACGTCCGGTTTTAAAGGCCGATTGAAACCTGCTTGTCGAGGAGTTCTCGTCGATAAATTCATGTCATTATACTGATCTTGATTATTCCATCACTCATTATTTTTGCCATGTTGGGTTCGACTTATTCACCTATGTATACAGGAAAGACCGCAATTTACAGTTTTATGCACAAAATTCCAAAATTTTATGCCAAATAAAAACAGCATTATAGATAAAACAAATCTTCGAGTAATTATCAAAACTTTAGATTGTAAAGTTGAAAAAAAAATACTTTCAGGTTTTTATATTGTGCAAGAATGCAGCCAGTAGGAATTTTTATTGTCTTTGACACTTTTTCCTTGCTCAGCAGAACATTTCTGAAGTTTTAATTGAAAACTTCAGATCTTGACTTCAGATTGCAGTCAAGATATGCGCATTTTTTGTCTAAAAAATTCATAAATTGGGGGAATATTGTATCATTCTGTCAATCGCTTTGTTGTATATACTGTAGTATACAAGATTTTTTCCCGTCGGTCTTTCGTTATAGGTGGAGCCCATTGAATTAAAATTATATTTCGCAGAATATTTCTCCAATGTATTGTAGAAAAAAAATCAATTTTTCCCAATTTAAACTGAAACTGCAATTTTTCTTAGCAAATTGTGCACTTAAATTAAATTCTTCCGGAAATAAATTTCAAGATTTACCATCCTATCCTATTTTTTCAATAAGATCTCGTGGGATTTGATGCAGTGTTTCGCTACTTCAAAAACGAGAGTATATCCATGCAAGCATCTATATAGGATATATTCAACATATATTTCTAACGTCCACATTTGTATGTATTTATTTATTTGCGAGGTATGGAAAGTGCAGAAAGTTCGCCGATTCCCCGCGGTGCGTCTCGCGGACAGAAGGTTCAGAAATGCGTTGCAGAGCCCCAAAGGCGTTTCTCCATACGCAGACGACTTCGTGGGACAATTGCGAGTCACTTATCAATGTCAGCAATGTTTCAGACTCAAACACGCCTATGAAAACTTTCTCACGTTGGAACTCGAACTGCCGTCAAAGGGAACCTCGCGATCCCTGGAGCACCTTTTCAAGGACAACATTTCAAGCCCCACGTTTTTTCCGGCTATGCGATGCGCGTGAGTCTTCTTGAAATAGTTTCTATGGTGAAATCAACACAAGTTTTTATCCTTGTATTCTAAATAAAGCCAAAATTCCGTTCACGCAGCAACGTAACAAATATTCCTTTCTCCGAAACTCGTGTTTTTGGTACTGATGTAAATACTGCATGATAACTCCCTGAAATTATCCGTGGCACCTTTGCGATGAGATATTTCTGAGATTTTAATCTTGAAACGCATATGTGCAACTCATAAGCGTGTTTTGTTACATTAGTATTTGTGGGAAATGGAGGCAAAGCTCAAGAAGTCAAACCCTCTCCCTTGGACAGCGGTGGGTTAAATTCCATCCTGTGGGAGTGTCAGGAAAATTTTGCACACTAAGTGCATTTTGGTTTGACTAAAAGTCACCAAAACAAAGATTTGGCTGAGTAGCCAAAGTCTGAAAAAATCTGGGGAAGGTAACCCATTGTGTCTAAAATCGCTAATGCTATGAAAGGAATTTGGAAAAAAATGCCACACAGCAGCAGCCAAGGTTAAGGAATATGTTTCTGCCAAATAATAAAAATAAATCAGGATTTTTCCAAACTTTGTCTCTCGTGATCATCCCTGATCTTTTTTTTTTTAAAGCCTTGTGGTGCAAAATTTTGCAAATAAATCCTGGCACTGCAGCCCAAGGGTGAAGTCAATTGCTACCCTATGTTGAACTGTTTTTGAGTTTCTGTCTGAATTTCTTTAGGGAGGTTTTCACATCAAACCTCCAGGATTAAAATTTTCTGGAGGCCTTTTGGCTACTGTTTCATTGAAACAGGAAAGCAATATGAAATAAAAATGTATTTTGATGTGATTTTAAAGAAAGTGGAAGACCACTTAGGCAAATGAACCTTTCCCTCTAAGTTCAACACCTTTTCAACTCATTTAAGAAGTAGTGAGAGGCCCAGAATATCATTTAATTAAATTTCTCTCAATTTTTATGATGAAAAATGTAATGAGAACTCTCTCTGAAAATGCTTGTTTCCCTGACTTCAAATTTCCCGAACGCTAATTTATTTTGCTGATTCCTTGAGCCTCAATTCATAGAGTCTCGGCTGTAATTGTTTTAAGGTGAGTGACTACTGAAATTTTAGCTCTTGTAATTTTCAGATTTTGCGAGAAAGCCTCGTTCCGGACAAAAGGCATTCGACATACTGCCACGTGTCTTTTTCATCCAAATTTCAGAATCTTCCTCGTAATATTCGAATCAATACTTAATGTAATCCGTCAAAATGATCTGAAGCACTTCTTCTCAAATTTGAGGGGCTTCTGAAATTTCAGAGCTTAAACTGTCCACAGATTTTGCGAGAAAGCCTCGTTCCTGACAAAGGCATTCGGCAGACTGTCACCTGTCTTTTTCACCCAAATTTTTGAATCAACGCCTTAAAATTCACATAATTGTTGAACACCCTCGTTTGAAAGTGGAAGGACTTCTAAAATTTTTCCAACTTGAAATTTCCACAGATTTTGCGAGAAAGCCTCGTTCCGGACAAAGGCATTCGACAGACTGCCACGTGTCTTTTTCATCCAAATTTCAAAATCTTCCTCGTAATATTCGAATCATTACTTAATGTAATATCCGTCAAAAATTATCTGAAGCACTTCTTCTCAAATTTGAGGGGCTTCTGAAATTTCAGAGCATAAACTGTCCACAGATTTTGCGAGAAAGCCTCGTTCCGGACAAAAGGTATTCGGCAGACTGTCACCTGTCTTTTTCACCCAAATTTTTGAATCAACGCCTTAAAATTCACATAATTTTTGAACACCCTCCTTTGCAAGTAGAAGGACTTCTGAAATTTTTCCAACTTGAAATTTCCACAGATTTTGCGAGAAAGCCTCGTTCCGGACAAAGGCATTCGACAGACTGCCACGTGTCTTCGTCATCCAATTGCGTCGCTATGGACGATCCCCGTTGAACAGGAGCCGATTCGTGAAGCTCTTCAACTACATAGACTTCCCCATGACGCTCAACATGCTGCCCTTCTTGAAGGACGCCACTGACGGACACTTTATTTACGACCTTCGCGGCGTCGTTCAACACATGGGGCCTGACACCGACTGCGGACACTACACAACCAAGCTGAGGTATTTGTACAAGACTGACGAGGATGACTGGAGAATGGTCAATGATCACATTGCCATTGATTCCTTGGATGACCCCACGGCTGAGATCAATCCGAAAGTGCGGCCCTCCATGAGATCAACGATCTTCACGCCGTACATTTTGTTTTATGTTGCGCGGCCGCACGATGGAGTGAGTTATTAGTGGTATTTTATTTATTCACGTAAATTTTTAGATGTTGTCACGCATTTTTATCCACATAAAATGAGGCACAATTCCCCCCCCCCCCCTGGAAATCGTCGGTCTTGAATCAGAGAAGATGGAGTCTTATAATTACCACTGGCGCATGTCATTTGGAGAAAGTGCCTCTGATAATAATAATGTGACTTATATTTTATGGCGTATATTTAATGGCAACTTACAATTACAGCTCCAGTGCAAGATTTTTCAAATACAGTGAGACCGCAAGATGCAGAGAAAATTTGTGCATCAAGAGTGTCCCCAAGTCAAAATATCCCTAATTAAGTTGAGTCTCTTTTTCCCTTAGACTTACATTATACAGATTTTAATTGTTGTTTTATCTAAAAAATACTCACCATAATTCCATGAAAATAAAAATTGTCTCCAAATTTAAACCGATCCCAATCAATACATTTCAACACAATATGGAAATTTTGAGAATTGAATACTGAAACCTCCATACAGAACATAGAAATGCTGGCATTCTCTGTGAAAAAAACATTCAAGTGAAAGAGAGAGAAGGAAGTCCCTCTATGCTGGAGGTAATTTTTTAAATCAGCTAAATGGATGGTAAATTGGTGAGAGAAATGTCCAAAAGCTTATATATATCGATTTTAGGGTTGGAAATATCTGTTCCTTGTAATTTAACCTGAAATGTATTTGCAATTTTATAAAATAATGTCCCATGTCGAGTCAGTGTCCTCATGTCAGGCCTATTTTGTTAATTTTTTAGGGGGAAATAAGTGTCCCTAGGTCAAATTGTCCACAGGCTGAGGTGTCTGCATGTGGGGGTCTCACTGTACATGCCATATGTTTTGAATACAAATCAGCAGGAATACAGTAATGCTGTTAGATCATTCATAAGTCCTTCATACAGGAACCATTTTAAAATAAAGAGTGCTGGGCATGATATTAATATTCCTGATTTCTTTAAATTGCCAATTTTAAAAATTTGCTTGCTAGCAGAAGGCTTGCAGGTAATCTTCATGCAGCAGGAGAGATTCGAATCTGAAGAATTTAATGTAGAGTATTTTGAGGACATCTTAATTGACATTTGGGCAGCATAATTAGAGGAAAAGACGTAATCAAAGGCCAATTGTTTCTTGAAGGCGAGATGGTTTAAGGTTG